TCCGCGGCGGAAGACCCTCCGTGTGCCCGTGGGATACCCCGCTCCAGGCCTCCCACGGCGGAAGACCCTCGGTGTGTCTGTAGGATACCCCGCTCACAGGCCTCCCATGGCGTGAGACCTTCCGTGTGTGTGCGGCATACCCCGCTAACAGGCCTCCCACGGCGGGGGACTTTTCGTGTATCTGCGGCATACCTCGCTGGCAGGCCTCTCATGGCGGAGCACCATCCGTTTGTCTGTGGGATACTCCACTCACAGGCCTCCCACGGCGTGAAACCTTCCGTGTGTCTGTAGGATACCCCACTCACAGGCCTCCCACGGCGTGAGACCTTCCGTGTGTCTGTAGGATACCCCACTCACAGGCCTCTCACGGCGTGAGACCTTCCGTGTCTGTAGGATACCCCACTCACAGGCCTCTCACGGCGTGAGACCTTCCGTGTCTGTAGGATACCCCACTCACAGGCCTCTCACGGCGTGAGACCTTCCGTGTGTCTGTAGGATACCCCACTCACAGGCCTCTCACGGCGTGAGACCTTCCGTGTGTCTGTAGGATACCCCACTCACAGGCCTCTCACGGCGTGAGACCTTCCGTGTGTCTGTAGGATACCCCACTCACAGGCCTCCCACGGCGTGAGACCTTCCGTGTGTCTGTAGGATACCCCACTCACAGGCCTCCCACGGCGTGAGACCTTCCGTGTGTCTGTAGGATACCCCACTCACAGGCCTCCCATGGCGGGAGGCCCTCCGTGTGTCTGTAGGATACCCCACTCACAGGCCTCTCACGGCGTGAGACCTTCCGTGTGTCTGTAGGATACCCCACTCACAGGCCTCTCACGGCGTGAGACCTTCCGTGTGTCTGTAGGATACCCCACTCACAGGCCTCCCATGGCGGGAGGCCCTCCGTGTGTCTGTAGGATACCCCACTCACAGGCCTCCCATGGCGGGAGGCCCTCCGTGTGTCTGTAGGATACCCCACTCACAGGCCTCTCACGGCGGGAGGCCCTCCGTGTGTCTGTAGGATACCCCACTCACAGGCCTCCCATGGCGGGAGGCCCTCCGTGTGTCTGTAGGATACCCCACTCACAGGCCTCTCACGGCGGGAGGCCCTCCGTGTGTCTGAGGGATACCCCGCTGACAGGCCGCCCATGGCGGGAGGCCCTCCGTGTGTCTGTAGGATACCCCACTCACAGGCCTCTCACGGCGGGAGGCCCTCCGTGTGTCTGAGGGATACCCCACTCACAGGCCGCCCATGGCGGGAGGTCCTCCGTGTGTCTGTAGGATACCCCACTCACAGGCCGCCCATGGCGGGAGGCCCTCCGTGTGTCTGTAGGATACCCCACTCACAGGCCTCTCACGGCGTGAGGCCCTCCGTGTGTCTGTAGGATACCCCACTCACAGGCCTCCCACGGCGTGAGGCCCTCCGTGTGTCTGTAGGATACCCCACTCACAGGCCGCCCATGGCGGGAGGCCCTCCGTGTGTCTGTAGGATACCCTACTCACAGGCCTCCCACGGCGTGAGGCCCTCCGTGTGTCTGTAGGATACCCCACTCACAGGCCGCCCACGGCGTGAGGCCCTCCGTGTGTCTGTAGGATACCCCACTCACAGGCCGCCCATGGCGGGAGGCCCTCCGTGTGTCTGAGGGATACCCCGCTGACACAGTCACAGCAAGAGCACGCAACTGTTAGGTGACTTGTCGAAGCATGTTCACGCCATAGTATCGTGATAGTTACCTCATTCTGGGTATTGCCGCATACACAGCTAGCACACAAGGCAAGCAACTACAACTCGGTCATCATCGGCTAAAGACTCAAACGCGCCACACCGACCTCACCCGCCTGTCGGCCCGCTCCGACCATGACCAACCGCACGCAGCAGCCTCCTGACCACCCCCCCCCCCCCCCGCCTCGTCGCCAGCATTGCGAGACATCCACAGCCGGTTTCATCCTGAACGGTGACTGGAAACATCGACAACTCCGGCACGTACAAGGGCGCCGGCGCCAGCTTCGGGTACCAGCGCCAGACGGAGCGCACCGGCGAGCGGATCTCAGCGCTGGGGCCCATCGCCGAGCCGGTGGACATAGTGGTGAGAGCGTCCCCCCCCCCCCGTCTACCGCCCATGGCTAGTGCCGGTCCGGGGGCGGCGCCGGCCGCTTGTTGAAATGTAAGCGACCTTGCGATGATGTAGGTGACACTGACCCCTAGGTACCGTGGTGAATAATACAATATATACATGTGTGTGTCTATGCATATACGCATGCGTGCACGCATATAAATGTGTGTGCGTGTGCGCAAAATGCATGACATCCGGTTCCCTTGTATAAATGCATTCTATGCCTGGTCAGTAATGGAAGTTCGCTATAATTTGGCCTCACTGTTATGAATGTGACACCCCCGACATACCTGACAGTGACTCGACTGTGACACCTCCACTAATGGAGCGATTGATCTGCGATCAACACTGATTGATCCAGAACTATCATCCATACCGAATCAGTACTGATGAGTCTGTAACTGTCATCGATACTATACCAGTACTAATTAGTCTGGAACCGTTATCAATACTGTATCAGGACAGATTGGTCTAGAACCATATCGATACTGTACCAATGCTGATTAGTCTAGAACCATTATCAATAGTGTATCGGTAGCCAACTAGAACATTACACAACCTCTGCTTGCCGTGTCTTGCCAAGTCTTGCATGGCAGCGAGTCCGCCCAGCATAGGGTCACCGCCGGCGTCTGTGGGCTGTCAGATCCTGTACCGGCAAGCCAACCGCGGTATCAAGTACGAGTACGCCATCAAGAGGAACAACTCCCTGAGCTCAGTGCTGCCCCGTCTGCCGAGCGCTACCGGTGTCGCGCAGGTGCCGAGGCCGACGCTGGCCGACCAGCAGCGCCAGCCGGCGCCCAGCGCCGTGGCGCCACCGCCACCGCCACCTCGCGCCAGAGGTGCGAACTAGAGCTACGCCGGGGACCGTGCTCTGTGCCCAGTACGCCCGCCGCCCGCCAGGGCTGCGCTGCGCGCGTTCTTGTCATTCCTGGGCTCTCCTATTGGCCAGTCAAACACCTGCCTAACATTGTGAGGTTTTAGCTCTGAGTAATCAACATATTGATAAATGTTTGTGCACAGATGCGGGACAGCAGCCGTCGGAACGTTCCAAAAAGACACAAATTTCTCTATAAATTTGATTATTTCCATGCGATAGAATCAACTCAAATTGGAATTTTCAGGGTAATTGGGTAGGCCATGACCAATCTGGAGGATTTTCACGCCTATGCTTGATTCATCATGCTTATTTTACCAATGGCAAACGTCATGTAAATGCATCAAAGTATGCCAAAAAAAGGTCGACGGCCAGTCTTATTTTGTGCCATGTTCGAAATATTAACTACACTTTTGCAAAGCCACTATCCATCACCCTCCAATATTACGGGAAAGGAGCTCTGATTTGCCTATAACCCCGACTCAGCCATACCCAAAGAAAGAAATGGGCACAACACGTTCACCTGATCCTTCCCATTAACTACTGTATGCGGATATATGTGAGTGTACCGTACTCTTGAATGCTTCAGGCGCGAAAATTACATAACCGGTATCCGCGTAGAGTCGATGCGACACATCGAAAAAGGAAACAGCTGCAAAGGCCTCCATCTCGATGAGAGCCTGTGTAACTGTTGCGGGTATTATTGACACCCAGCCGCAGGATGGTGTTGAAACCGGAAATTTTGTGAGATGGTTTGTCTTGCGTTCACCTCGAAGAGCAGCATAGCTCGCTGACGAATGCTAGGTGTTTCGCGACTTGACGCGCGAGTGCTGTCCCGTCGCCGACTGCTGCCGCTGTCGGCAGGCGGCGCTGGGTTTGTGTCGTCGCTCTACCAGCCGGCTCAGCGGCCAGTCAGGCCAGGCCGGACCCGGCCCCGGCCGGGGGGGCCCCTCCGCCGCCGGCGCCGGCGCCCGGGCCGGAGCCCGCCGACGCCGTCGACGCCGACGCAATCGGTTCCAGTGGGTGGTGACCGGCTTCTCGGCCTGCAGCAGGTCGTGCGGCGGAGGTGAGACGGTCGCGCCACCGTCAGCTGGGAGGGCACGGCGACCCCGCACGACGCTCGCTGGAGTGGTGCGAAGTTGTGTCGCCTTGCGCTGCCTGCTGTGTCATCGGCCTTAGAGACATGCCCCACACCTCAAGCCCAGTGAACCGACAGAGACCTTTGTGATACACATGTCGTTGAGGGGCACGCCATGCATTGATCGGAGGCAAGCCACCTTCACCTGACTTGCGGTCCGGGGGGAGGGCAGGCTGGTTCGCGTAGGTTTGTCTCTTGCGTGAATTGTGGTGCTTTTAAACCATCTTGACGCGTGTTCGGTGGATAAGTTCAGCGCATGTTGTGTGTTCAAGTGTCGGTCATGCGTGCGGTCGCCGCAATCATTGCCGAAATCGCCTCGTGTAAGGTGACAACAGACTTCACTGACAGCTGTCTCATTGGTAAAGGCTTCAGCCACATCAACCCCATTCTCCAGGAACGCAAATCGCCGAGGTGGTGTGCATGAGAAGGAAACGGAAGCAGCTGGCTCGCAACAGGAAGTGTGACCCCCGCCGGCGACCGAAGCCAAAGGCGACGCCGTGCAACACCTTCCCGTGTCCAGTCAGGTAAGCGGGGGCCTCTGTTGCCATTGGCGGACTACATGCAAACGGAAGCATGGCGATGGCATCAAGCTGAACACTTCTGCTATCGCCATTGCATTGGGCTGTTCAACTGACTAAAAAGCTCCGTTTCTCGCACTGCATCTAGCTGTGAATCAGTTCCACATATGAAATTATGGAGCAGAGCCTAGGTTGACGAGACCTGGGATATGGAAGCGCTTTTCCGAACAGCTCGAATTGTGAATTCAATGACCTCGTAACTATACTGCGCAGCGCGAAAGGGTTCATAAGCGGCGACTACCTTGTGCGTCGCGCACGTCGGCGCATGTATGCGGAGGTGTGTCTGATCCACGGCGGCCGGGGGTGACTGTGCCAAGCAGCAGCTGGGAGCCGAACCCCTGGTCAGCATGCAGCAGCACGTGCGGCACCGGCCACCAGACGCGCACGTTCCTCTGCGTGCGCGCCGGCCAGCCGGTGGAGGTGACGGAGTGTGAGGGACGCCCAACGGAGCCAGAGGTGCAGGAGTGCGACGCCGGGCCCTGCCCGGCCAACGCCCGCTGGCAGATCGGACAGTGGAGTCCGGTGAGTGGCTGGTGGCTGGGTCAGGATGGGCAGTGGAACCCGGTGGGTGGCTGGGGCAGGTCGGACAGTGGATTCCGGTGAATGACTAGGGCGGGAGGAAAGGCAGGTTTCGACGGGCAAGCGGGGCAGATCGAAGTGTGCAGCAAGTAAAAGTTCTGTGGCAGACCGGCCGCGGGCGTTCGATGTGCTACGAGCACATATCAGGCATTGTAGTTTGGCGAATTACTTAACAGATCGGATGGGAGAGACCGATGATTTATTTGGGGCAGACTGGACAGACCAGTCCAATGCGTCAATGAAGAAGATTAAATGGCAGAACCTTGTGTGTCACTGGAGCAGATTGAAAAGCGAAGTCAAGTTACTCAGGCGGATACGACAATGCAGTCTGATGAGTCAGTTAGGCATATCACGGGTGGAGTCCAGTCAGCTATTAGTTCTGAGGCAGATCGGACAGTAGAACCTGGTGGACAGTGAGTTTGGGTTTGGTTGAGGAGGCGAGTTATTATGGAAGATAAGCTACTAAACGTGGAGCACAGAATAGAGCCACAACCAAAGTTGTGCAGCTACCCAATCATCGTAACGGCTTACAGCTGCGGGGGTAGGGTTGTTGGGGGTAGGGTTGTGTCCGCACGCCTGCGCCCCCCGTGCGCGTGCTGACGGAGTGTGTGTGGCGCGGTGCTCAGTCAACTGTTGTCGGGGGGCAGGATCAGTGTCCGTACGCCTGCGCCCCCCGTGCGCGTGCTGACGGACTGTGTGTGGCGCGGTGCTCAGTCAGCTGTTGTTGGGGGGCAGGATCAGTGTCCGCACGCCTGCGCCGCCCGTGTGCGTGCTGACGGGGCGTGTGTGGCGCAGCACTCGGTCAGCTGCTGTTGGGGGCAGGATCAGTATCCGTACGCCCGCGCCCCCCCCCCCCGCGTGCGTGCTGACGGGGCGTGTGTGGCGCAGTGCTCGGTCAGCTGCGACTGGGGCAGCCGGACCCGTCGCGTGAGCTGCGCCGAACCGGGCCGCTGTCCGGCGACGGAGCGGCCGCGCGACACGGCACCGTGCCGCCTCCAGCCCTGCCCGCAGCAGGTCCACAGCGACCACCGACCGGCCGGCTGGATGACCACCGACTGGACCGACCAGGTCAGTCGCCAGCTGAGACCGGCACACGCGTCACACGACAGCCGGCGACCGGCACACAGGCCATCAGGCACATGGGAACAGGCGCGCAGGCCGCACGTCACATGAAGATGGGCACACAGATCACACGCCATATGAAGGCTGGCACACAAGTCATACGTCACACGAAACCCGGTCCACAAGTCATACGTCACACGAAGCTCACATGAAGCCCCGTTCCTCACAGTCACACTTCACACAACGAAGCCCGGTCCAAAGGTCACACGTCACATGAAGACGGCACGCGGTCACAAGCCTTCAGTGACAGACGGCATCCGTCTGTCATGTGGGGTCCACGAGTGAATGTACACCCGTCGGCCAGCTCACAGAAAGATCACATTGTACCAGGCCGCTAGACGACCGTCTGGGGGCCGCAGAGGTGAGGCGACAGGCTAGTTACAGGACAGGCCCAACACGCACGGCGCGATGGATGCCACGGGTGCCGTAACCAAAGGGCTGTGAAGTCGTGCGTGAGACACGTCCGATTCTCAGCAGAACACAGCGTGCGGCGTTCAGACATCATGCATGGGCCACCATCGGGACAGTTAGGTGAGTCATGTTCGCACCATGGTGTGCAGGCGTGCAGATGTCTCACTAGTTCAGCGAATGAGGATCGAGACCCCTGCGGGGCGTTCTGTATGGAAGTGAGGCGTTGTTGGCGTGTTGCAGTGTTCGGTGGAGTGCGGCCAGGGCGTGCAGTGGCGCGGAGTCACGTGCGGCGGCGACGTCGGCCGATGCCAGCCGGGCTCCCGGCCCCAGCAGACACGGCCCTGCAAGACGGACCGCGGCTGCGGCGGTATCTGGTTCACTGGACCCTGGAGCCAGGTGAGACGGGCCCTGGAGCCGGGTGAGACGTGAGACGGGTCCTGGAGCCCAGGTAAGACAGACCCTGGAGCCCAGGTGAGACGGATCCTGGAGCCAGGTGGGACGTGAGATGGATCCTGGAGTCGGGTGAGACTTGAGACGGACCCTGGAGCCAGATGAGACGGATCCTGGAGCCCAGGTGAGACGGATCCTGGAGCCAGGTGGGACGTGAGATGGATCCTGGAGTCGGGTGAGACTTGAGACGGACCCTGGAGCCAGATGAGACGCACCCTGAAGCCAGTTGAGATAGGCCATGCAGCGAGGTGAAAGCATTCCTCTTCCTTTGTTGCGCAAGATGGCCACAGTAGCCAATAAAAACCAATAAGAATAATTGGAGCCAGGTGAGGGATTGCCGAACGATATATATTCAGAACAGGAACCGCTGGTTCAGTGGAGCAGCAGAGATCGCGGAATTCTGAGATTATGTTCGGAGCAGGGACCATTGGCAGCCGCCAACAGGTCCTGATTAGTGTGAGCGTTGCTAGACGCTTCTATCTGACAATGCCGTGACGACTGTTCACTGGACGCGAGGCCAATGCCGAGCCGCAGCGGCACCGTTGACGAGCCGTCGCTCGACGCCGCTCTCCGGCAGTGCTCCCACGAGTGCGGCGACGGCGGCCAGGCCACACGCACCGTGCTCTGCATTCGGCGCACGGACGCCGAGTTCGCCGTGGCGGCGGAGCGGGCGTGCGCCGCCACGGCGCGGCCGCCGGACCGGCAGCCGTGCGGCGGCGGCGCCGGCTGTCCGCCCCGCTGGTTCGTCACCGAGTGGGCCGCCTGCTCGGCCACCTGCGGCATCGGTCGGCAGCGGCGCACCGTCGCCTGTGTCGACGCCGATGGCCGCCGCGCCGGCGGCTGCCCGCCGGCCGACGCGCCCGCCCACAGCCGAGCCTGCCAGCTGGCCGACTGCCCCGAGATGGGTAGGTAACGCGGACGTAACGACCGGCCGCCGCCGGGACTGGAGGGCTCACCTTTGCGAACTTGCAGTGCTCAGTCTGTCGATGTCCGTGCGAACATTGCCTTGAACCGACTGTTGTGCATGTTTGTGGGGGCCAGCGTGTCATCGTACGCTGGCGTCGATGGGCGGTAACGGTGTTCCTGGTCGCTTAGGTGGTAATTTTCACATGCGGGTGGAATGGCTCCAGTCTGCAGAGCCTGAGCTACGGTCAGTCTCGCTTGCTATGTCCTGACAACTGTGATTTCTGGCGTGTTTGTGTTGTGTTGTCGCTGAGACCGTGACGTCCGCTATGCGGCTCTGCCCATGCTTTGCGTTCGTGTCTGACGCGGGCGTGTTTAGGTGTGCACGACGAGATTCCTGTGTCGTTACCTCTTCCACCACGTAATCAGTCGGATGCGGAGGCGTATGCGCGCTAAAGATCCATGCCACTTCGAGATAGTCCACACGCCCACAGTGCTCCCACGGCAGTATGACATAGCACACACCTCAAACACATCAGGACGTAAACCGCTTCAAAGCATACGCGCACAATAGTACCTGTTGGCAGGCAGTTGTGAAACCTTTACACAAATTTTGTCGGGCATTAAAAGCTAAACGTAACTGCACTATGTTAACTTTGCATGCCACACGTATCGTATGCAATTTTAATGCATCGTTTGCCACGTGCTATCACTACAGCTTACCCTCGTGTGCTGTGTTAACACGCCCACCTGTCCGTCCGGCTTGCTTGTGGCTGCGGGCGTGCGCGTCCCGCTCACCACTGACTGCGCCTTCGGTCTGCTCACTCGCTGGTCCGGCCCGTAGCCGCAACGACCGGGCAGCCAGTGACGGAGGGCAGCCTGCCCACCGGGCAGACTGAAGCAGCAGGTAGCGCGCCGACCGCCGACGCCGCGTCACCGGACGGGACCCCGCCGCCAACGGTCGTGGACGAGTCGGTGGAGCAGCGGCCGTCCATCCTGACGCTGGACGAGTCCACTTTGGGCGGATGGCGGGGAACCACAAACGCGAACAAGTCGGTGGAACAGCGGCCGTCCGTCCTGACGCTGGACGAGGCCACTGTGGGCGGATGGCGGGGAAGCACGAACACGTGGATCACGGTGGATGCCCCGACGCCGACGGAAGCTGGGCCGGTGGGCTCGACAGAGCCCACCGGTGTTGGAGCCACTGAGCTCGGCTCAAGCTCCGAGCCAACAGCGGCCGCCGTGAGCCGTGAGCTGGAGCTCGGGTCAGGCGGCCTCGATCCCATAAATACGGCCACATCGGCGGCGGCGACAGAGGCGCTGGCGGGTGGGGCTGAACCAACCCGCCTACCGAGTGAGACGCTGCCAGCAGGAGAGCTGGAGAGGGAGACTCCGGCGACCAACCAGCCGGAGGAGCAGCTACCCACGAATGAGCTGGAGAGCGAGCTTCTGGAGACAAATGAGCTGGATGGGGAGCCCCGCTTCACATTCGAGCTGGACGAGAAGCCTCCCTCCGCAAATGGCCTCCGGGGAGCACCGTTCCCCGGGCAGGCGCCAGCCGAGAACACATTGGTCACTGATGGTAGCGCCGCAACCACCGAGGGTTTGGCGAATCCACGCAAACACAGGAAGCACAAAGACAGAGGCGGGCGCCGTGAAGGCCGCAAAGAAGGCAGTGGCAGTGGTGCGAGTGCGAATAACACAGGTAGGCTACCGCCGTGTCTCGTGCGTGTCTGGCAATCCTATCAGCGAGTTGGATATTGTCGATTACTCTGGGATTCTTGCATTCACCATCTGCATATTAAATGCATGCAGCTCAATGTAAACAATTTTACGGGTGCACGTAGTTCGACCGAGCGGTCGGTGCACTCTAAAACCCAGATTGTCGCTAGGTTATTGAGTTTACCTTGCATGTGACCTCTTCACCTTAGCGAGCATTCCCCTGTGGTGACTGTTGATCTTCTTCCAGACTCCTGCACGGATAAGTTCAGCTACTGCTCGTTGGTGCAACAGGCAAGACTGTGCAAATACAAGTACTATAAAAACTCGTGTTGCGCCGCGTGCAGAGGCGCTCGGTAGACCTCCATTTCAGAAGTTGGCACGTGAGTGACGAGCACCAGCGCCATCTTTCAGGCGATTGCTGTGCCATCTGTGCGCTTACGGAGGAACTCACTCAAGCTAAATTGACTGACAGCGGTGGTCCATATACGAGTGACGTGCTGCGTGTGGGATGGGGCCGGCGGCCAGTGACGGCCACCAGAGCGCGGCGCGCACTGCTCTAGCTGTGTGAATAGTGCTGCCTGTCTTCTGATGAGGACACCTTGCTGTGCCTGCTTCTGCGCTGCCCGTGCGAGGTCGCCCTACCGGCGTCGGGCGCGGGTCCGTGGCTGGCGCTGCTCAGCCCGCAGCCAGGACCACTGTGTAGCTGACTAATAAACGTCTTCAGACGGCAGTAATCTCGGGCCGGCGCCGTCCTGTGCTGGCGCGCACCCGGCAATCTTCTCTGTACAGCTGCACGGACAGCCACTGTCAGACACCGTGTAGAAGGCTGAGCGCCGCAGCTCTTAACAGTGTTTCTATTACCTTGTTCTTAATTGAAATAGGCCGTCAGGTGTATTTATGGTAAAGGCTGGCGCACGTGAGTGGCTCGAGGCGGCGTGGTGTTTGATGAAGAAGTATGAATTTGACGATGTTCCGCGCCGCACATGGTTCTGTCTAATGTTTGTTGCTGAGAACACGAAAGAACATTGAGCATGATGTGTTTGTCGCTGACATAGCAGCATCGAAACTTCACTGGACTGGGAAGGTTTGCGGATGTGGTCGGGCATAGTTCGACGTTAATGTCTGATCTATGGTAAGCTGTCGTTAACTTATCCGTTTAACGGCCCTCCATCTTCTCTCCTATCCCCCCGGAACGTTGGCGTAGGTAAGCTGCTTGCTAGCGTATTGACCCATTCTTGTCGATCTATCCACTTGGTCTCGGCGCCATGTTCGTGAGTCACATTATGTGCCAAAATTATTGTAAAAATAAGTCATTTGCACGAACCTCGGTAAAATGCGAGACCAAGACGTTTGACACAGCACCGCATTACTCGCAGCAATTTTCAACATTGTCCCCTAAATTCGCCGCATATTTGCCTGAGGGCCACCAACGAGAGCTGTCTCGCGCTCAGCCGAGCGAGCGCGGCTGGTGCGCGCCGTCGCGGCAGGTCGAACCCCCTGGCTGTCGGGTGTCGGATCTCCGGCAGCCGACACCGGACCCGGGCCGGGCGGCCGGCCTCGACACCCGACCCTCCCCGCCGGGTCCCGGCCCGCTCACCTGGCTGGCTCGGGCCGGCCGGTGGCGCTGGGGAGAGGCGGCGCCGATCGACTGGGCCGCAGCGTACCGCCGCGCCGCCCGCAGCATGGTCTGCTGCAGCAGGCTATGCCGGCGTCAGGTGCAGGACACGCTTTTTAGACGCTTGACATCTGCTGGGACTCGGGCTCGACTGCTGGTTGCATGCGCAGCGGGCAGGGGGCAGTCTCGTCAGTCCGAGGCCGCATGAAGACGGATATAGTAATCACCCACTTTGAGAGGAAAAGGGAGCTATGACAGCAGTCTTATAAGCCCTTTTCAATAAAAAAGTTGAATGTTTCCCACTACGCCACACTTCAAACGAAGGCAAGGCATCACCCAAGCAAAACACTGTTTACTGGCCTGACCTGCCTATTGCTGCTCCGGACTGCAGACACATCAACAAAAGCATATTTCTCCCATCCTGGACGTACCATTCTTGCGCAACTTTCTTGCTGTGGCGGGTATTTGTCGCCCTTGGCCTGAACATCCCCCGGCGGGACGCTTGGCCTGAAGATCCCGCGGCGGGACGCTTGGCCTGAGGAGCTCGGGGTGGGACAAGAGCGGAAGATCTCGCGACGGGACAATTGATCGAAAGATCTCGCAGCCGAACGCTTGAGTTCAAGTGTTTTGAACTGACTCCGGGCGATCACGTGTTGCTGTTATGCCCACGGAAGGCACGTCTGAGACACCGGACGGTGAGAACGCGCGCGCGCGCGTGTGTGTCTGCGTGTGCTGGTGTCTGCGCGGTGTGCGCGCGCTTGTGTGTATGTGCGCGCGGTGTGTTTGTTGCTCGTGTGTCGGCGGTCGGTGGACGGTGGGTGGTTGGGAGGGGAGGGGTGACGGGCCTGTAAGCCGACCCATCTCGAGCTGGGGCGTGCTGGTACGCCCCCTCCCCTCCCCTCTCCGGCCGACGGGCCAGGCATCCGACAGCGGCCCGGCGGCTCTCCCAGCGCCAAGGCTCGACCCGGCACTGGACGTGGGCACGCGTGCGACCGAGCAGGGAGAGCCGAGCTCAAGGCACGGCTGGCTCACTGGCCTGAGAAACTGGCCATTATTTGCCTCCGATGTTTCATATGACTTCCATAAAATTACCGTTATTGCTCCATCTGCTGGGCGATTTCAGACGTCATGAAAATGTCCCAAGTGCTCGCGAATATCTTCCGTTGGCACCATTATTTCGCTATTTCATCAACCGAATGCCATTTGTAGTCATTCTATTAAGTATGAGCCAAATTTCGAACGTTTCAATAAGAGCTTCACGACACCGTTCAAGGTTTCTGCGTGGTGGCCTGATGTTTGCTGGTTGAATGATCAGCAATGTGCACTGTGCCCTCGCTTTATAGGATAGGCTCGACGTCACACACTCCTCGCACATCGGTCTTGTGACTCTCAGCCGTTCCATGTGAGCCATTCATTGAGAGTTAAGTCTTCGGGAGAGCGAAGACACGTTCGACACGTTCAGAGATGTGCCAGCAGTCACTACGGCTGACAACGGCGATCATAAGGCCATGATGTTGCGAGAGGCGTTTCGTAAACGGATCTGGTTCCAGGGGTATGAGTCCATAGGCGCGCGTGTCGGGCAGTCACAAATCGGCGGCCTGTGTCAACGGGCCGCCGAATAATGCAACGAACAGCGAAGTCGGTCGATCACGGAGTTATTAACTTTTTAGAGAAGACGTTGGGTTCCATTATTGTTTCTGAGTTCTGCCCGAGGTAAGTCACACACCACATGTCAGTGTCTTGGAAAAATGCATTGTTTTTTATGTTTTTTATTTTGGTCTGAGCGTGCTCCAGATATAATTTTTGAGACCCCCGCTTCACCCAGTACAACACACAACTTTCCCTTCACCTGTCCGGGAGAACCTTGCACATGTGATCCAATGCTTTGACATGGTCACACGGTATTACCATGGAGACCATTTTGCCCTCCACCAGCTAACATACGCCGGGTAAAAAAATCAGCCACTCCTGGGATTTAAACCCATGTGCCTGCCACGTGCTGGAGTCGGGCGTCTGAAACATTCAGATACGGCTGCGGGAGCTGGCACAAATATATGTAAAATAAACATTAGGTAATATACATGTGCCCAAATGATTGACCACAGAATCGCAAACTTAAAACGGCACCACAGATAACCACACGATTTATGCCTGCGAATCAGTACAAAAGTTTTATTCTTTGGTGCAAAAGCTCAATGAATATCATTCATCAGGCAACTAAGCATCAACCATAGATCGGCTATGCTCAAAACACTGAATGCCTGGTTCAATCAGCCCTTATTTGGGGCGCCTTATGATATGCCTAAAAGCGATGCATTATCGTCAGGCAAGTAAGTTAGCATCGATTACAGAGAGCGCGAGGAACCTTACAGATCTCCTAGATGCCCGCTTACAAATTTCTTTACTTTCTGTTGCTCGGCACGGGTCATGGAAACCTTTCTACCAAGCCATCTTTGATTCGAGCTGTCCAGTGATGCACATGGTACTGATACATGTATCATTGGGTGCCAGGACGGGGTGACCTGAATTACTGGGATGCTTGTGAGTTTCGAGTTATACTTGTGGTGCCTGATGATCGTAAATAATTCACTTTCTAATCTGATACTCAGTGAGGGTCATGGTTACCTTCCCGCTTAGCCCACCCGTATTTCGTGCATCCCTCAGCGTAAAACCGTGCATAGAGTTTAGATGTCAGACCGGGTGGTAAAGCTCGAATAATTTTGTTATTGACATCTTTGGGTGGCAGTGTCTGTACTGGTCCAGAGCATTTTCTCGATTCACATGCCTTGGTTCTCAAATTTAACTTTTTGCTTAAACTTATCCGCTTAACCCTTTCACATGTGACCATAAGTCCAGCTTAAAACTTCGAACTGTCAAGATAAGCCCTGTTTGCGCAACCTCGGTGGTGATTTGGTGTTTTAGGGCGCGTCAGCATCTGGGTCATTTTGCGCCCATGACCTCTACCTTGTGGTATATTGTACGTCAGTTACTCAGCGTAAACACTCTTAACTTGATGTGGGTCGTCCTTTGCCCGTCTCGAGATACATGACGGAGCCAGTCCTAATGGCCAATGATTACATTACGGAGCTCGTCCTGATGTCCAATGAGTACATGACGGATCCAGTCCCGGTGACCAGTGAGTACATGACGGAGCCAGTCCTGAGGGCCAATGAGTACATGACGGAGCCAGTACTGAAAGCCAGTGAGTACATGACGGAGCCAGTACTGAGGGCCAGTGAGAACATGACGGAGCCAGTACTGAAAGCCAGTTGAGCAGTGAGAACATGACGGAGCCAGTCCTGGTCGCCAGTGAGTACATGACGGAGCCAGTCCTGAAGGCCAGTGAGCACATGACGGGGCCAGTCCTGATGGCTAGTGAGTACATGACGGAGCCAGTACTGAGGGCCAGAGAGTACATGACGGAGCCAGTCCTGAGGGCCAGTGAGTGTATGAGGAAGTCACTCCTGGATATAGTGTGATCACTTTTATTATTATGTTGTGTTATAAATAACCCTATTTACAGTACTTTTGCGTTATCATCCTTAATATCATGTGCGGGTGTAAAATCTCCATTCAGTAATATTTCTGTATAATTTTACTGCATAACATGTGAACACAAGTGATGACAGCTGGGTGACAGATTAGTATGGGCACAGTTTCATGGATAGCGGGTGGATTGGGGAAAAAAAACCTAAACCGAGAAGACCTGCAGTTGGTGGTTAGGGTCACGGCGCCGGACAGGCCGGACAGACGGGGTCGGGGTGCCGGACAGACCGGACAGGCAGGGTCGGGGTGCCAGGCAGGCCGGACAAACGGGGTCGGGGTGCCGGACAGGCCGGACAGACGGGGTTGGGGTGCCGGGCAGGTCAGACAGACGGGGTCGGGGTGCCGGACAGACCGGACAGACAGGGTCGAGGTGCCAGCCAGGCCGGACAAACGGGGTCGGGGTGCCGGGCGGGCCGGCAGTCAGGTTCGAGGTGCCAGACAGGCCGGGCAGACGAGGCCAGGGTGCCGGACAGGCCGGACAGACAGGACACCGAGCGACCACGAAGACCAGCCGAGTCGAGCAGGGCGTGTTTTTGGCTAGTCGGTGACGGGGGAAGGGCGACAACTGATAACTGCCGCGGGCTATCGCAGATCAACCGCCACGCAGTCACGTTATCTCTTGGTGAGCTGTTATTTGGCCGGAACATCGTTTGACATGCGCGGAAAACACCGTCCGATTTCTTCACAGCTAGGCTCCGGCCAACAACAAACACACTGTGTGGAAGAATCTGAGTACAGCTGGACGGCGCAGATTGTGGATGTCATCGACATAAGTTACGAGGGGAGCGAGGAAAAGTGTCATTTTGTGTGAATTTCTTCCAGCTAGTGCATAAAATTCGGTTACCAGCGCGCAAAAAACAGACGTCTAATGTCT